TTGTATTGTTTACACCCTGCCTGTGTATGTATTCCCAACACGTTTTATCTGGTGTTTCGTCTCACGGACCAGAGAAATTAAGAAGCTGAAATTTTAAATTGATGGGTACAGTGGCCGAGTTGCGTTCTTGCGAACTCAATTCGGCAACTGCACCCACGTCTAGGCCTCACGTAGACTAAAGTAAAAGTTTTGACGGGAAGATTATTATCGCGGAAACCACGAAAGTTAAGAAGCTAAAATTTTGGAAGGATGTTCCTCATTCACGTGCAGCCCCACAAATTTAAGCTGATACTCCATGCACACCTGAGTTTAGCGCACGTTCCCATAGAAGTTTTGACAGAAAAAACTGTCATCGCAGAAACACAAAAGCCATGTGGCTGAGATTTCAGAGAATGTTTTATGACTTGCAGTGACTTCACAAACTCAAATTTAGCTCCTAGTTATGCTAAGATCTCACGTGTGGCCACATAGAAGTTTTAATTCACCATTTTCCCCATTTATATGCAGTCTAAATGTTTCAAATTTGACTTTCACGTACTACGTCTTTTGACGTACTCGTATGTAAAACTTTACTAGGAAATTTTGCGGAACGAGAAAACATACCGGCCCTTTTTGCATACATGCCAAACTGTAAAACAGTGAAAATTCTTAACGGCAACCGTCCACTGGACAGAACTGCGCATAACGCATAATCGTACCGACTACCCTGGTGCAACTGCTATTTACTTTTCCCTCCAGAAATCAACGAGGAACGACTGCAACCTCTCACTTCTTTTTTGTACGTCATTAGGAATGCTTCAAAACATTATTGCTTCTTAGTAAATCACAGAATAAATCAAAGAATGCTTCCTGAAAAAGTAACACTTAGTTTTTCGATTTAACGTCGTAACTCTCTGACTCCGTTATCAAAAAAATGTAAGGAATACTTATTTTTTCAGCTTCATCTGTTCCGTCCGGTTCTGCTTGCTCCTCACGTGGCCGCTGCTTGAATTTCATTATTCCCAGATGCATATGTGCAGCCATCAGCTTATAGCAGTTCAGTTTTTCCTCCTCTGAAAAGTGCAGCACATCAAATGCTTCATCGGTGAGCCTGAATTCTTCCGTATCGTCCATCCCGTCAACGGTCAACTCGGCTTGTGCCACAAACCAATAGTCGCGAAGCGGTCGATCCAGCAACAGTAAGGGTTTTAGCTCCGGCTTATAGTTGGAGAACATCTGATAAAAAATGTGATAACATCGTTCACCGGGAGCCTGACGGATAACCCGGGATTTTTCCAGCAAATCTGCAAAAACTGTAGGGATTTAAAAAAAAAAAGAAATTTCTGTTAGCTAAAATTTCCAAAAATTGGATGGGGCTCTAGCGGTGTTGGGATGGTCACAAACGCCAAATGCCTGTATACCAGATTTTATGATCCAGTGCTGCAGATCTA